ATTACGAAGAAACATGTTCTTCTGCTGGGGACGGGCATGCGTCATGTGTCGCAATCTTTCGGTTGCGGAAAATAACGACTCTCGCGACGGCATGCGTTTTTCAACTTCGGAAGACGGCGACACTGCGCGTCGTCGTCGTCGTCAAGGTGTTACCAAAGCAGAAGTCGGAAGTTGGCGAAAGATCGCGAAAAAGCGAACGTGAAAAGTCCGCGAACACAGAGATGCATCGGTCCGCCTTTCGCGTCGTTCCGTTTGCTTTCTTTATGGACGAGACACGAGAATTGCCTCGATATCGTTCGACTCGACTCGATCCGCTCGTATATCACGTATCTGTTAGACATTAACGTAAGCGGCTAGTGCCCTGTAATGTAACGTAACGTAACGTAATGTGCAACGTTGTAAATCGATGTTTACGGAGGTTCCCGGCGTAAAAGCGACTCGACGGGTCGCGATTTTCCGCATGGAGAGAATTTTAGTCGGATAATGTCGCGTAACTGGAATACATTAATAGCGAAGCCGACATTTTTATGTATCACGACGAGTTTATTCAGATACGTGTTTTTGTAACTCGAAGGTTTAACAAATTACACCGTGCATGTGGTCGCACAATAAAAGGTTATGTTTTCCGATTCGATGAGAGATTATTGAATCTGTCAAATTGAAAAAATGTGAAAGTTGTGTCTGATTGCAGAAGTTGTCATTGTGTCGAGTTTCGTCTGCTGCAAAGTACGTCGAAGAAAAACACATTGCCGCTGACTGTAGAAGGCTAGTTTGCCAGTATCGAGATAACAATACATAAACATCCTTTCGCCAAAGGATGTTTAAATTAGGCAAGTGGGAGTTGAGAGTGGCAAGGGAGAAGTACACCCGAGTCGAAATTTCGATACAGTAAATTCTGTTGATCCTGAAAGACCAATCGAGAACCTCAAGAGGTTTATACTATTCCTTGATGCTGCAGATGATATTGCTATTTTGTTGAAAACTTAATTGAGAATTGTTTAATATTCGAGTACTTCAATAATTCATCTGCATTCAGTCCTTAGGTGATTTTTTTATTTTAGAATAAATATTATACTGAATACGTAATTCCTACAACTGCAGATAAAGATAAGTGGACACATAAAACATACAACAAACTTTCTTTTATTATTAATTTCTTTTATCACTATTTTCTATTAATAACAGAAATTTCGTTGGACTTGGAGATGCAAAGCAGGTGAGAAAGTAATTGTGCTGTTGTCATTGTTTGATAAATAATTGCACTTTCGTGAATATTTGATTACTCGTTAGTCCGTAATATTTATTTCATACAGCAAGAAATATCGACCCAAATAGCCGAAGAGCGACCCATGAATTTATAACTCATGATGCTCTCAGAAAGATCGTAATTAACTTACAACTATAAATAGCGACCTAAGTCACGCAACTGCCGAGATTTGTTTCCCTAATTATGTTCTTTGAGGTACGAATTTCACTTTTAACTTGCCAACGTCTCTTTTTCACTTCAATAATTAACCTCGTTACATTGTGCCGAATTTAAATTTAAATTTAAATTCTTATTGATGTTTATACAATTGCTACTTTTGATATTACAACTTTTTCTTTTTCACTCTCTTTAAATATCGAAATTTTCAGTGCTAATAATAATAATAATAATAATAATAAAGCAAAAGAGTCGCGGCTCAAAGAGAAGTTGTTGTTTTATTTATGTGTTATTTACTCATATTAAATATTTAATATTAGAAGTATCGACGATTAACGCGATACATTCCTACCGGAGCGACCGAAACGACAGGTTTTCGAAAAAATGCAGAGGCGAATGTTTTATGCAAAATGTTCATTTATTTTCACTCAATGTTTATTTAGTTCTATTCAACGTCCATCAAAAATATAAAATGGGTTACATAAAAAGTTACGTTACATAAAAAGTTTGAATGATTTTTACAAAAAGTTACAAGCTGATCACTTTTGTTCACATACTTTGTCTGTGGCTGAGAAAATTATGTAATTAACGCAGTGCCAATTGAAATTGAGAATAAAGACTAATCGCGGGTTAACAAGAATTAAACTCATATTGAGCGCGGATTAATTAGATACTAAATGAGATAAAACCGAATATTACCTAATTCCCGAATAAGCTCTTCTTCGTATCTCAACATGAGGGAAACGACGTGTTACTCACCGTTCGCAGCTTCAAGGTAGATAAATAGCCACGCATAGTGTTACATCTCGTGATATTGCATAATATTACATTTCCATTAATCCCGCAAGTTCGCAACGTTAACTCGCGAATTTAACGAAGAAGCAAAATTTCGGCTCGGGTAGACGTCTCGGCTTCGCGACGTTCTTCGCACACCTGTCTCGATATAGTTTCTTCCTTCGACTTCCTTCCGAACAATACTCGTCGTATCCTCGTCGGTTAAGTTACAGCACGGTACTTTCCCAGTTAACGAAAATGCCAATATCTTCCGAGAAGATTCTCCCTGCGCGGCGAGACCCAGCGAGACCAAATCCAGCGACGCATTTGCCGCGCGCGCGAGCGCAAGAGAGAACAAAAAGAAGAACAAACAGAAGCGTCAGCGGAACTCGCACTTCGCGCGAGATCCACCATAAGTCGCGACGGAGTTCCGTAATTTCGTTGCGCGGTCGCAAACGGACGCTCGTCGTCCGCGAATCTACAGGTTTATTCTCCGTCGCTAAATTAGTGTATCCTTGCGGAACTTAAACAGAGACAGATTTAAGTAGTTGAGACTTGCAGGGAGAGAAAAAGGAGAGAAGCGGCGCGAGGTAGTGCGGCCAGTTGAGCGATAGAATATGAACTTTGTATCGAGAGAGAGAGGGGGGAGGGGGGAGAGAGAGAGAGAGAGAGAGAGAGAGAAAGAGAGAGAGAGAGGAAGAGGAAATCGAAGCTCCGCATGTGAACGTAATTTGCGTTTCTTTCGATTTTCTTCCTTCGTCCCGAAGGACGATCGCATCGTCCCGACTGGCTGGAACTCCGTCTCGACAACGGCTCGTCCAAAGTGCGCCCCGCCAAGAGACACATAGAGACACGTAATATTTTAATGAGATAATAGCTGCGACGCGGTGAGCGAGCGAGAAGAAATTGCGTCTCGATTTTCATGGGCGCGCGATGTCCTTCGCCAGTGTCCTCAGATCGACGTCGAGGCCGCGAGGCACTCCGCGAATAATCGCGATTACGTTGTCGCGGATGCGTGGCCGCACGCGAGCGTGGAAAAAAAATGCATCGCAAGCGACGTTCGAGGCGGGAATGTGTACGATATTGTTGTCTCTGTCGATACTCGCGATTCTCGATTAATTTACGAAGGAGAACGTGAAAGTTATGCGACGAGAAGTGAACATTCGTACACGGAGAGAATATTACGGAGAGTATGCGGAGTGAAACATATCCAGGTCGCCTGAAACATCTCGGGAGAAATGTGTCGCTCCGCTTCGCGGACAAAAGTCGCTTGGTTTGAAGAGTGCGATGAAACGATGACTTTGGTCCGATCTTATTCGGACTTTCGTCTGAAGAAAAAGCTCAGGAATTTCTTCGGACAATGCAATTTTTCCGAGATGTTTTGGACGAGCGTTTGAAATGACTCACCCTGTATATATACACGCGTACATACGCACACATACATAACTGTTCTCATAAAAATTCTTTTTAATTTTACCAGGTTTTTCTAACAACGCAGTAGTAGACAATAGAAAGTACATTTTGTTGATAAATAATGGATATTTTAATAATAGACTTTAGCTTGCAAAATGTAAGTACACTGAGAGAAATAATGATTAATCTCATTAAAGATTATAATTATTTTTGGCGCGGGTTTTGTTCAAAGATGTCGTAACCGAGCCGAGTTTTGTAGCAGCATTTATCATTTTTAAATTATTTAGTCCATTCTTCTATCGTGAAACTCACCAAAACTTTCGTGCCTCTTCAATGTGTGAAGATATCATCACTAATATTATAGAAATATTTCTCTCTACAAAGATGATTCTCCTGATTATAATTTTTTCGCTGTGCTATTACAATCACAAATACTAAACTTTTATTCATACTTTTTTCTCAGTGTACGTGCGAGATGGAAGGATAATAAATTAAGGCGGAATTTTTCGGTATGTTCCTGTATTACAAAATTCTCCAATTTCTGCAATAAAATTCTCTCCGTGTATCTTCTAATTCACGTTTTTCACTGTAGGCTACTTAATGCGAAGGATTATTTGCCGTATCGCTCGAGCGACATCACGTAAATATTATTTATTCGTACACCTTTCGTTCAACCTACTCATTCGGCTACATTTTTACTACTTTGTCTAATTTATTAAAATCGAAGATTGCGCTGACGCGCGAATTGCACGCGTTCGCGACAAACCGCGTTCGTGGCGAAGCCGAAGTTCGTTCCTTTCCCGTGCGAGAGTCTCTCTTCATGATTTTCACCTCGCACTTCGATATTTTCCAATCGAAACTTTCGAGTCAAACTGTCAATTGTTGAAATGTAGAACGGGGATTCTTGACATCGAGTCGTCGAACGCACTCGAAACATGTGAAGTATACAGCCGAATATGCAAAAATATTTCTCGACGCGGAATTATTCTCGCCCCGTTTTCTCCTTTTAATTAAAAGTTTTTCGTGCATTACGCGCGCGATACTCCAAGCACACAGTCGTTATATCCTTCGGGCTCTACAATTTCAATCTTTATGAAAACTTATGAAACTTTTTATTATGTGTTGGTACGACACATGTAAACACACACATTCATTCACATTTAGGCAGACACACATACGGAGGTACACTCGTGGTCTCGATAGCGAGATTTTAATTAGAAATCGCCCGCGGCTGCGCGTCCACCGTAAACGCGAAGCCTAATGCGCGCGAATTGCGTTTGCGAGACGCACTTTTTTAAATTTCATTACTGCGACGCGGCGGCATTTAAAGAGGTCGCATGCGTGCGTGCGTGCGTGCGTGCGTGCGTGCGTGTATGTGTGTGCGTGTGTGTATGTGCGTATGCGGTAGGAACGACGACAGGATTAATAAACGCCGTGAAGTGTGTTGTGTGTGGGAACAGCGTTACACGTGAGAGTATCGACTGATTGCGCTGGGAAATGTGGTTATCTCTACACATGTAGACAATTAATAACAATGTTTTAAAGAATCTGCCGCGTTTTTTTCTCGCCCAACGCTTCCGTCCTGTCCGTTTCCATTGGAAATCCGCCTCCGCCGCCTCCGTCGCATTCAACCATCTCCTTCTTCCTCCCTCACGCCCTCATCCTTTCGCCGGAGCTCCTTTCGCTTCAATTTAGAACAATAAATCTTTTTCTCTCCCTCCCTCTCACCCCCTCTCTCTTCCTCTCTCTCTCTCTCTCTCTCTTTTTCTCCTTCTCTGCCTGTCTTTCGTTTCCTCTTCGCTTCTCTCTAAATAAATATTCCTCGTACAGAGCCGGTTTAACGGCGATTAAAGCCAAGATAAATGCAAAATGGATTATTTAATCGTATGAGTTATGAAATAATTCGTAGGAGTTATTCGCGGGACAAAAGTTTTAATCTCCCTCGCTACTCCGCGCCTGGCGCGCGAACTATTATTACCGGAGCTATTTTTATGGAGTTTAGGCGGTAAACCGCGTGAACTCTGAAAACTCGCCGGTGATTTCGCAAGTTGGCGCGAGAGGGCGAAAGGAAAATAATAAAATCCCTTGGATACCGAGAGCGCGTGCTGCGATTTCGCGAGAGGGAAACGGATTATCCGAAAAAAGAGAGAGAGAGAGAGAGAGAGAGAGAGAGAGAGAGAGAGAGAGAGAGACGAGAAGATGTATACGTATATACATATGGAGGGGAAAACTCACCCGCGAGGTGGTGAATCCCGACGGGCGTGTTAATTGATTCGATTGAAGTTTCATTGATGCTCGAGAGGTCTGCTGTGTTTTCGCGAGTGTGTCAGTTTCTTTAATCCTGTCGTTACTCTTCCTTTTTGAAAGTCCAACCATTCGAACTATTCCTGTAAAATTTGATATTACTCGGTGAAAAAGAGGAAGAACAATGACACACACACATGCATGCCGCTTTTTCCAACCCGCTTTTCATTTACGTTTCAGACATTTCAGCTTCATTGTTCGATTATGTACCTAACAAGGAAGCATACGGAAGTGTCCTTCGTTGATTTGGACTCGTGGATCTTTTTATGGCTTATATAACATAATGTTAGGGTGCCCGAATTTAGGTACCGCGTTAACGAGATTAATAAACGCCGAGAGGTGTATCACGTGTGGAAAGCAGCGTTACACCGTGGAATATCGACTGCGTTGATTGCGTTGAGAAATGTGGTTACCTCAGTGTGGGGAATTAATAACAATGTTTTCAAGAAACTTTCGTTTCTCTCGCCCGACGCTTCCATCCCATCCGTTTCCATTAGAGATCCGCCTCCGCCGCCGTTGCATTTAGCCGCATGTGCAACATTATTGAAAAATAAAATGTAGAATCAATGGGTATAGTAAATACTACTTTTTTCGCTTAAAATCTTTTCTCACGATGATGCAGACATTCTCTCAAGTCAGTCTCATCGTGTAAGATTTACCTCGCGTAATATCGACGGATTGTTTCAACCTCAAAACATATGCAAGAAATTACGTATATTTCTTATTTTTTCTGCCTCAACTTTATTAATAAAGTCCGTCAAAATTGGCGGCAGCCGTTTCTATAAATTCCACAGAACGAGCAGATCATAAAACAAAATTTTAAGTCCAAATGTCTGTTTATATTTATTTGCAATTTTTCCTATACTTTAAGAATATCAATATTTCATTATATAAATATATTCTTATTTCATTATATAAATATATTTCATTATATAAATATATTTTTACGTATCTATTATTTCATTCTATATTTATATATTTATTATTTATTATACACACCTGCATATATTATTTTATTAATTATTCCATATTTCTTTGTAAGAACATTTATTGGTTTTTTTCGTTGCTTTACGGGGTGGGTTTTTCCAGCGGCGAATAACGCGAGCAGATTTTCGAAGTCACGTCCCTCGACATCGGAGAGCAGCACGATTGTATCGCGTGCACGACGCGTTTACGCTCGCGAAACCGCGAGACGCGACACTTTGCGCGTCAAGATTTCGCAGACAGCCGAGCTATCGTCCGCTTAGACATCTGTTTAACATCGGTACAATGCCTTGCCACTCGAACGACCATTGTTACAGAGTGCAACGCGCGGTTGTTGCACGGCGGACGCATGCTTGGCGCTCTTTGTGTCACGGCGCGGCACGGCGCGCCGAGCGAATTCGCGAATGCAAATTCGCGAGCCGAAGCCGTTCATTCTCCAGATTGACACGCGAATCGCGAGGAAACCCTCGCTCGCCCCTTAATTTGACATTTCGTACTGAATGTAACGTGTACGTATGTAGTCACGTTAATTATATCACGCATGTCACACGCAGCTGCACAATCAATGAGATTGCGCATCATTCGAGCGAGCGTCGTGATTAGTTTCTCGAAAGATCCAGATTGAATTCCCTTCATCTCTCGTCGTTTTGCCCTTCTTCTGAATACTCAATTATATCCGGTCCACTTTGATGAAATTTTTATATTATATGATACTAAAGGAGAACTGGCGGCAAGAGATGAATGGCATTAAAGCGGATCCTTATGAGAAATTAATTATGGCGGGATATTAATTATTGATTGGGACATAACTGATGCGCTTTTTGGCCGAGCGCCGTGCAAATAATTTCTCGAAAAATTCAAGTTTAATTCCATTTGTCCCGTTTCGCTCTTCTCTCGAGCGTTAAATTATTCCGACCATTGCTGTTAAATTTGATATTATTTGGTAGAAAAAGAAAGAATAATGACGATGAGTGGAATTAATTTTTATTATATATATGAATACGTTCTGTTAGCCAGAAAGCCGAGTTTCACTCTTTAATCAAATTCAACTTTACTGCAGTTTCATGGAAGCGAATTATCCGAATTCGATTAATCGTGTCAGTTATTCGGTTAATCGGAGCAATTAACCGTATCAAACGAGTGATCGTCATTATTCTCCGAGACTCTTCGTCAGCATATGATACATGGTCATTATCAACATTGTAGCCTATATTTTATATGTACCAGGTATGTAAATATGAAAATTCCGGTATCAAATTTTTGTATAGAAAATACACGTTTATTGTATGAAAATGATAAAATATATTTTATTCGAAGTATTGCCCATCGCTAGCTATACATTTTTCCCACCTGTCTGACAATTTGTGGATGCCACGCCAAAAAAACTGTTGCTCTTTTGAGGCAAACCAGTCATCGAGCCATTTTCGTACATTTTCGTAAGAAGTGAAGCGCTGCTCAGCAAGTGCGTGTCCCATCGATGCAAATAAGTAGTAATCGGACGGAGCCAAGTCTGGTGAGTAAGCCGCATGCGAAAGTATTTCCCAACTAAACGCCTCAATCGTTTCCTTCACCAGTTTTGCTGTGTGTGATGGTGCATTATCATGAAGCAAAATCACTTTGTGTTGCTTTTCTTGATATTCTGATCGTTTTTCACGCAAAGCTTGATTCAATCATCGATCATTTGTTGTCGGTAGCGTTCATTATGAACGGTTTCGCCAGGTTTTAGCAGCTCATAATAGATCACACATTTCTGATCCCACCAAACACAGAGCATTGTCTTCCATCCATAGCGATTTGGCCTTGCAGTCGATGTCGATGGTTCGCCTGGAGTTACCCATTACCCATCTTTTACGCTTAGGATTCTCAAAATATATCCACTTTTCATCGCCAGTCACAATTCGATGGAGAAATGACTTTCTTTTGTACCTGGCGAGCAGCATTTCGCAAGTGGTTTTTCAGTTTTCCTGCTGTCTTTTATTCAGTTCATGTGGAACCCATTTTCCCATCTTCTGGATCTTTCCCATGGCTTTCAAACGTATGGAGACGGCTTCTCGTGCCACATTTAATTGATCCGCGAGTTGTTGTTGCGTTTGAGCGTCATCCTCATCCAACAATGCTTGCAATTCGCTGTCTTCAAACTTTTTCGGTGGTCTTCCACGTTCTTCGTTTCTCACGTCAAAATCACCACGTTTGAATTTTTTAAACCACTCAAAGCACTGTGATTTACCAAGAGCATGCTCACCGTAAGCTTCGACAAGCATTCGATGCGATTCTGCAGCAGTTTTCTTCAAATGGTAACAGAAAATCAATGCTGTCCGCAAATCGTAGCTTCCAGGCACAAAATTCGACATGTTCAACGCTATTACAAACTATGCTGTTGTATGAAACTTGTATTGTTGTGAGTTGAAAATCTTTGTCAGATGTCAACAAATGGAAATGGCGCCAATGTCGCGGTTTGACGGTAACTACATTGACAGCTAGGGCCATCTATGGGCAAATTCCGGTTTCATATTTACAGATCTGATATGCGCGTGACGTCATCCAGTGAAAATCGAACCAAACTTTCTGATCGATAACTGATACGTGTGTCGTCGATGAAATAATGCGCTCCCTCCCGTGAGACTTTCCGCAACTTACCCCTCTCTTTTTCTATTTCCCTCTTCAATTTCCCAACGATTATTGACGAACGTTCGCCGGCAATCATTTCAATGTTCTACAGCGGAACAATGTTATACAGCGGAAAAACGTTTGAGTTTCGCGTTCCTTCGCGAACGTGAAAGATCTAAAGCTGCCGGAAAACGTGTGTACTTTATTGTTCAAATTTTACCGCGATCACAGATTGACGAGGGGGAGGAGGAAAAAAGGGAGAGAAATTGAAGTTCCATAAAACGTATAAAAAAGGAATCGGAGTACCGAAACAAATTTCGCGAGGCCAAGTTCCACGACATTGTGCATAGCCTCTCTCTCTCTCTCTCTCTCTCTCTCTCTCTTTCCGCTCTCTTCTTCTCTTTTTCTCCTTCTATGCTTCTCCTCGATCTGAATATATCGCCTTAATGCAAATTAATGCATACAATACTTTCAGCAAGATCGCTGTCATATATAAAACATTCCTACGGCTGTTTCGGTATCGTTCTTTTATTAACGCCGTCAACGGTATCACGAGTGAATGAAACTCTGCATATTTCGTGATGAAGGATGCAGAAATGTACAATATTTGCAAGTTAAATGGCTGAATCGCGATGTGTTTTTACGAGCAAGAATAAGGAGAAAAATGATAATTTGTCTGTGTCAAGGTGATGCAACAAAAAAAATAATTTCACGTACGTATTATTTTATATATATAGGATAGACCATTTTATATACAATATACGCGAATATCTCGAAAAAGACAAGTTTTTCAAAAAAATGTTTCAGACAAAAAGTTTTATGACTTCGAGGGAGAAAGATGATAATACTATCAATTAGATGACGTCGCTTCAGAGACTTCATCATAGCGGCCATTTTGTTAAATGAAAATCGATTTTTTCTCGAAATAAAAGTTGTAGTCGACAATAAGATGAATATAACGGGTTTTTGTTTTTTGAGATTTGACTGTTTTTCAGTGAATTACAGCGTTCCAAAGTTTATAATTTGAGTAAAAAAGAACTTTCATCTATTTTATTGTATTTCTCTTATTGCACACATGTTCTTTAGCAAAATAAACTTTACTGACATTCTACACCTACGCTGTACAGTAGGATTGAAAATAATTAAACAAATTAAAAGGAGGAAAGTCACATGAAAATATTGGTTTGTTCGGAAAGTAATTTCGGTTTCTTGCATGAAAATGAAAGACGATATTTTTAATAGAAAGAAAAGTTTTTTCTTCTGTTAAGTATATTGACCATTTTGTTCTAACACCTTTTGCCATTTTTGCCATCTATTTGAAAGAATCGAAATTACTTTCCGAACAATCCAATAGATACAATGTTCTTTCAATGCATATTTGTCATACAGCACGTTACATATTTATTATATATGTAGAATATTATATTCGCTATACCGTATGTATTTGATGTTTTATTTAACAATGAAACGTCTCGCAGGAAAATCGGATGGAAGATATTCGCGTTGCTCGCGCTAGTCGAAGTTCCCAATAGGTTTCGGCCGTGACCCATCCCATAAGAAGGATTTAATTGAATTCCCTTCGTCAACGTGGGCGGCGAATATTCCATCGTGTTGCACGTCTATCCACGTCGACTTAGCGTCTCTTCGAAGTGCCCGCTATAACATCTCGACGTCTCGTTTGACGGTACACGAATCGGGGCAAACGTTCGGGACCCAGGCAATATCACATTAACCCAGTTTCGTTTCCGCAAATTAATTGCCGGTCCTCTTATTACGGGGGAACATTCCTCCGTTGTATCCCTCGTCGCGATTCACATTATAATAACCTTGCGCGGCCTACGCGCCTCCGCGGAGCGGTATTAGGGATCGTTATTCGTATCTCGTGAAGGATATAATAATAGCGGGCTCGTGTGCTGACATCCACGCGCGTGCGTGAAAGGTCCGAGGATAATCTCGCAGGACCTCGACATTCCCCACGTCGCGTCAGGCTCTCTGATTTTATATTCCTTCCTTCGCGAATTTTGAAATATCCAGTTATATTACCTCCGTGCGTTTCAAAGGGACGTTTTCTCTTCTTATCGTTTGCCCTTTAAAAATATAGTTTAACGCAAAAAATACAGTTTGATATATAAATTAGTGTAATATAATAGCAACTTGTTTCCAAGAAAATTCCGAGAAATATCTAAGAAAAATATATTGCCGTGGTAAAATATGCGTGGAAAATTTC